AGTAGAGTCCTGTTTTTCCCTTTGTGTACCGATGTCTAAAAACAACTTCGTAATAATTAATTTATTAGATAAATCCAAAAACTAATATAATATCCGACAAGTAGACGATAACGCGATCTAAAAGAGTATAACGCCATCTATCGGTATTAACAGTAACGTTATCCCGTCTTGCAGGTGGTGTATTAAAAATAACCCACTATAAATAATACAAAGATACTATATTCCAACATTATTTATTTTCAAATGTAAATAAGTATTTACAAATATATATAAACAGTGACAGTTACAAAATGTCACATTCCACAACCGATTTTGAATTCTGATTTCAATGTCTTAAGGGTTACAATCGGTTGGAGGAAGTTTGTATAATCCAATGTCTAACTTAAAATTACTTATCGCTTATATTAACAATTGCCTACACGTAAAATAATGCAATATCACTTCATCATATAACGATTCAAACTATCTAATTCAAATTCAAACTATCTATACTAAAGAATATTTTGATTAAAAAAAAGCCCTCACTTTTGAAACAAAAGGCATTGTTTAATAATAATTATTTAAAAAAATATTTATATCCATTAAAATACCTTTTAATCCAATTATAAAATTGACTTATCGATAACGTTGGCATTAAACGCCAAAACGTGGCAATCAGAACTGTGACGTAATTGTTTGAAATGACAGCCATATGACAGCTAACTGGGCATGTCGATTAACTTCAAAAAAATATCTTTTAATCGATTCAAATCGACCAAAATTCGGTATATTTGAATTAATAATTTATAAATATATATTTAAAAATATTCTCTTGGACATGTTTGAAAATGTCACGAAAATCGTTTACGATTTACCGATCTTTTAATACCGATTTTATCGAGATTCAATCCTGCCATGATTGATTTGAGTCAGGTGCCTATTGTGAATGTTATTTAAATGTCATACTGTGCTGTCATTTTGAACAATGACGTCATGGTTTATACTGTTTTGTTTATATCACGTTTTAAAAGATTCACAGTTTAAAAATCATGTTTTTTATTAATTTATCAAATAAAATATAAATATACCAACTCGCTAATAGATGATTTACGCTTAAGTTGCCAATTGGGTACTCGACTGATTTAGGAAAAGTATTTTAAAACTCTCATACAATCATATTTCTTTTTCTCGAGAAATGATTATTAAATAAAGGAAAAACACATTTTTTTTTCATTAATTTAAATTATCGCGGAAAGACAATCAGTCACGTGACATTTCGAGCCATGACGTCACACTTCAATGAACACGAGCACTTCTTGCACACGTTTATTGAAACGTGACGTCACACGATGCCCCGTCATGGCCAACCGTTTCGGTTCTTATAATCTTATACCTTATAATCTTACCCCGTCATGGCCAACCGTTTCAATTAATAAATTTGCAGAAATAAAACATATTGACAATTTATTTTAAAAAACAAAAAATATGACGTTGTTTACATTTTACATTTAATTTACTATTTACAACATATTTCATAATTTAACGTTTATTCTTCAGTTAAAACCTCTATTTCAGTCACGACATCTTCAAATTCCAATTGGTCCTCTTCGATTTCCACCTTCGCCTCCGTAACAGGCTGGATCTGTTCTGTAACGGATGCTTTGTTAAATATTAAATCAACTAACTGCCTATACTCCATTCATTATAGCATTAGACAGAAGTTAAATAAGGTTCTTTTTAGTGTATACTTTGTGACAAAATATCAACAATCATGTTACTCTTAAGACTGACGACTAATTTGCTACATATCCACTTAAATGCCAGCTGCTATAATTAAATATTGGCATTTAAGCTATTATTAAACAAATTTATGAGTATATGACTAACTTAAATGATTTAATAACTATTACAGTAAAAAGTATTCATCGTAAAAAACCTAAAGCAGCAGGGTTGAATAGTTTCGGCACGATTTTCATGTTACTATAACTCTACCAAATTTAAAATGTTGCCTAACCCCTTCAAACGTTTCAGTAGTACAGCTGAAACGTTTGAAGACAAAATTAAAATGTCAGACTATTATTAATAATAATCATTTATTCTCTCAACACAAAATTATATACTTACAACTAAGTCTAAAGATTCTTAAAATTATTTATTTATTATTTTTCATAATTGTTAAAATCGTAATCTGGGATTGTCATCCATTGTGAATTCTACTGCCTTTCTTGTTGTTTTGCCGTTTTCCGTGATTAAGTTGTTATTGCTTTATTTTTGTTTTGTTTTTGTTGTTAAATTTTGTTAAATATGGACGATGCCGGTGCAGGCCCGAGTGGCCTACAAAAATTACGCTCTAAGCCCCTACCCTCAACCTTTGACTAAGTAAGTACAATTAGAATTATCAAAACAACAGACAGATAGTTTCAGTTTTAGTTCCATGTCGGCTTGGGAGTAAAAGATGAATTTATAAAATGCTGGCCTCATCTCAACCCCGAGGTATCGTAAAAAATGGAAAATTGCCCAGCTCTTTCAGACTACCTAACATTCAAAGTTTCAACAAAACTAATAATATTTTTCAAATTTATCTTGAAAATAAAATGTTCTGCACTGCTGCTTCTATGACCCTCTTTTTTCTAATGTTATAATGAATGGAGTATAGTTAGTTGTTAAATTTTAAAACCTATCGAATCCCTTTCAACTTCACATTTTAAGATATACAAGAACTTCACGCTATAACTTTTTGATTTCTGACAGCGATTGTGGTCGCATCGTTTCTTTAAGATATTCAGAAAACGATATCATTCTTTCTAAGGCAAGCGTTAGATGCAAATATCTTAAAAAGCGACTGGGAAAAGTCAAACTAAAGAGCGGTACGTTGTATTATGATGATTCGTTAAGATAAGTTTGCAACATTAAACGTTGTATAATAGGGATAAAAAAAGCAATTCTAATTAGTCCGTCAGTCAGATAATAGAAAAATATTAGATACGTATTTTTTTTTTTTACTTCAATTTAACAAGAAATAGCTTAGATAACAGGCATTAAAGTTGAGGAGTGGGGGCTCGCTACGTCACAGTTGAGTAGAGAACGTACTCTAACGTGACGTCATGCGAAATTTCAACTCAATGTAACGCCATAATTTTATGATTATGAAAAAAATAAAAAAATACGTGTTTAATATTTTTTAACACTCTACCTGACGGACAAACAAACAAAAATTAGTCATCATCCCTATTGAATAACTCGCTATCACTACAGCTACACCTTTAAAAGGTATTGTTATTAATTTTGAAACTAAACAATGAGAAAGAATTTAAAAAAAAAACTCAGTTGCCGAAATCAAACTAGATGTCGCTACAGTATGTTCTTGATTTCTCCACGACAACCCTTCCGGTTTTCTTTCAATGTTAAAGTAAATTAGTTTTCAAAACTCAATAAACAACTCATATTCTATTTGTACTTTTTCGCATTTGTATTGATATCTAAGTTTCGAACTTTTCAAATTTCAGTTGTTTAATGTTAGTTAAAAGGAACGGAAATGACTGTCTTTGGTCCATTCGTTTCCTGCAAAAATCAACTTTTGCTAGAGTCGCCATCTAGTGGAGGTGCTTTTTAGTGCTTTCGTTTTTTTTTATACTTCCCCATTATAATCACGGTCGGCCAAAGAGAATTTCGTTCGTTAATCTTTGTGCCAACAATAGTCAGCGTTTACATTTTAGGTTTACTTCACTATGACAAAATTGACTAGATGCATCTGTGCGAGCGCAATAGTCTGCGCACGAGTGAGAGAGATATGTAGTGGCGGGTCATTGTCTGAAATTGTTTCTGCTCGGCGACTTTGCTATAGCTAGGCAACGCCTAGACCAAAGACAATTTTTAAAGTTTGCCTTTAAAGTTTTGCCTTAAATGTTAAATAGTAATAAAAACAGTCTGTCCAGAAATCGAACTAGGGACCTCAGATCTTGATACCGGCGTACGAAGGTCAGAGGGTCATAATGAGGGTTCTAATTTTCTTATTAATTTACCCACCAAAAAAATGATGCACAATATCAACGAAAAAAACGGTCATTAGTTATATAAAATAAAAAAATATGTTTTTATATAGCGGCAACAGAAATACTACATCTGTGTAAATTTCAACTGTCCAACTAACTCGGTTCATGAGATAGAGCCTGACGGACAGACAGACGAACAAACAGCGAAGACTTAATAATAGGGTTTCCGTTAAATAAAATAGGATGTGCAAACATATTTGGGGTCATCCATAAATTACGTCACTCTTTAGGAGGGGGGGGGGGTCGACGAACTGTGACAGGAGTGGGGGGAGGGGTTAAAAACCTGAATTTAGTGTGACGTAATTTATGGACGGCCCTGTAGACGACGGCAACGTATACCGCCTCCGTTGTTAATTTATTTTTCTTTGAATTTTGACACTTCCTTAAATAACAACGGAGGCCGATAAAATCTGTCATATTAAACTTTTTGTAAAAGAAACTCCTGTTTTTGTATTTTATGCAAGTTTTAGCAAGATTTCCACCTTCCGTCGTTTATAGGCCCCTTTCGCTATAATAGAATGTTTTAATATAATAACATGCTCTTAATGTAAATGTTTAAAAGGCCACCTTGTCCCTGGCATTCATGGGACACAAGCCTTTTAATTTTCATCTTTATCGAAAGTTTAGACTATTTGTAAAAATATATCTTTTGGCTGTTTGGGTAGATTACCTGAACATTGATAAAAGATACGTCAGTCCTGTTAGGAGTTTGGTAGCTCAGTGATTAGAGCAGTCGCCCGGATTGATGCAAAATTGATCAAATATCATAATAATAGTACGTTTCACTATAATGACATGTTTCACAATAACAGCATGTTTCACTATAATCGCATGTTTCACAATAACAGCATGTTTCACTATAATCGCATGTTTCACAATAACAGCATGTTTCACAATAATATAATAATAGTTTTGTCCTTTTCTATTAGGAAACCCTATAAGTTAGTGTGAATATTATTTTATATTATTCTACTCACTTATTTCGTAGTGATCGGAATTCTTCATTTTGAACACGTGGTGCTTCAATAATACAGCGTTTCGAAACTCTTCGCCGCACATGCAGTAGTAAAATTTCTTTTTCGGTTCCACATAAGTTGATTTGTGATCTCTCCGTATATGAACCTTCATTTCTTTCTTAGAAGTGCATATATGTCTACACAATATACATATAGATATACTATTGTACAGATCCAAGCCTTTCATACCGTACCTGGAAGAAACAATCGAAAATGTTAAACAACCTTCGCGAAGGCTGGCCATGAGATGGGCGACCGAAAATTTATTCGAGAGCCTTCGTTAACAGCTGCCAACCGGCATATGGGCCGGGTGGTTAATGATCGTTTCGCTAGAAAAACCGGTTCATATTTTTTTTGTCATTTTAACCGGTTTTACGCTGTCGTGGTATATTTCTGCTCAATCTATGCTGACATTATAAAGAAGTAAAGATTTGTTTGTTTATAGGGTATAATCTTCGAAAATACTGATCGCGATTCTTTCACCAACGATATTCATACACGGGTGACATAAGCTATGATTTTAGTATATTTCAATTATAAACTTTTGAAAGCGTGGGAGCATGGGAGCTACAAGCCCATTTATTTTCTATCCTTATAAGGTTCCTAACTGGAACGGAACATTACATAAAAACCGGTTTTACCTAAATAAAAACCGTTCATTTCCGAACCGGTTTCAAGCATGATGATAGCTGACTTTACATCTGAACATATATTTATAGTTTCGAACCTTACATCAAGGCTATATTATAAACTAGTGGACGCCCGCGACTTCGTCCGCGTGGAAGTCGGTATCCCGTGGGAGTGAGAAGTTTTCCCAGTAAAAAGTACCCTATGTGTTATTCTGATGTATAACCTATATTGCTGTAAAGTTTTATCCAAATCCGTCCAGTAGTTTTTTCGTGAAAGAGTAACAAACATCCATACATCCATACTTACAAACTTTCGCCTTTATAATATTAATAGGAATTAATAGGATAAAGTCACTAACCTGCACATAGAATTCCTCCATGTACTTTTAGTACGAGGTTTCAAGAAAAACGGCCTATAATTGTAAATCGGCTTTTTATCATCCGGCTTATTTTCATATGTACCCAAATGCGATTGAAACAAATCCTCCCGGTTCGTTGAAAAACCGCAAATGTTACACGTAAGATATTTTCTGTGTGCTATAGCGATATGTGATTTTAAACGTACTCTGTTCTCTGTCTTCTTCAGGCAAATCGGGCAGCAGGATATACTCTGTATTTCATGCGATAGAAAATGTACATGGAGACAGGTGCGCTTCAGATCTTTTGAACACAGCGGACAATACAGTTTGTTGTTTGTACCACGCATATGTCTATGTACCATGTGCACTTCTAGAAGTTTCTTGTTGAAAAATATTTGATTGTCGTAATCGCACACGAATATCTCTCTTTCAACACGTTTCGCTGTTGGCGAACTTAACAGATGTACCACATTGTAATGGCGTCGAAGATTCTGCAAGTTCGGATGCTGGGTAAGACATATCTGAAATAAATGTTAAGTATATATTTAAAATGGATATTGTTACTGAGCGCAGGGGCGTGGTCCGGCTACGCATTACTAGATGGCGTTATGCGCGAATAAATCGCGCTGACACTGTTATAACTACATGTGTCATATAGTTATACATCAGATCGGTGAGAAAGGGACAGCCATTAGAGAAGAAAAGGACTGGTAGCTGTTCTAGAACTTTTTGGTAATGCCTCGAATACACCGGTAAGGCAGAGGCCAACCTAGAATGTTCTGGATCCTAACTAGACATGCGCTTAACGTGTCCTAGAATGGATTGAACATCCATTCCAGGACACATTACGTTTGGTTCCTGAGCTATGTAATGTTAACATGTATTAAGACCTGTACTATTTTTACTTCTTTTTCTTTTATTAATGGTTAATCTGTGCGCCAATTTCTAAGTGGTTATATTTATTAAAATAATTTCTACATGTAAAATGAAATCAACTAAAAATGGCGATTCCTTTGCTTCTTTTGAAACCATTCTCTTATTTTAGATCTACTTTTATTTCAAATAATATATAATTCAGTTGACATTGATTGGGATTTTAAGTCTTTAATTACGAGATGTCAGTATATCTATCAGTTTTACCATACATACTCCTACGAAATAACTTCACCGATTTTGATGATATTTTATATGTAATTTTAGTAGATCTGAGAATAGGTTATCTACCTTATATACCTCTAATTGATAAGGGTGGTCCACCCCAAAATTATATAGCAAAATAACGTTTGCCGAGAAAGCTAACTATATAAACTGAAAAAAAAGCTGTGTGTAAATTTTGGCCAAATTATAAATTCATCGACTGCTTATAGCATAAAAAAAATCATTTATTTAATATCATTTTCTATTAAGTACGAAACAGATGGATCGTTTTTAGAGTAAAATATAAAAACTGTAGACGAAGGTACCGGAGGTACTAATATCATTTGTAAAAATCAAAACTATTAAATTTTTTCTAATCATGCACGCAGGTGACGAGATTAAGTTAAAAAGAATAATCTAAATATTAATGGATTAATGAATTTAATTCATATATCTGAAATTATCTTATCTATACAGATAGCACATTCGTGTTTATTATTGTTTACTATATCTTCTTCTTTTTAATTGATGGCGTTGTTTTTAATTGATGATGTTTAATTGATTTCGCCATGCTCCTCCGAACATGTCCTACCAATTGTCATCTTGTCAATAATACTGCCATGTCAATGTCAATATGACATATTAATATACGAGTTTTTTTACAGTCCATCTTTAAAATAGAATTATTTCCCTTTTGAAAACTCTAGGAGAATTTTTCTCCCTCGTACCAGCACACAATCATCATGGGTGACCCTGCCTCCTCAAAAATGACTATCGCTCCAAAAAAAAATTCTAAATACCTGATTGACGCCAGTAATATACATTTCCTAACTGTACTCTTTCGCTTTTGGACTTGATCATTACCTCATTCTTGGATCATGCTGCTAAAATGGGCATATTCCTACAGATGCTTTCTCCTATAAAGTAGCTGAAAAAAAATGTAAATAGGCCCTGCAAGTGATATCAAATCACTAACTGAGGAAGCTCACAATCTTTTGTATCTCTTACAAAATCTGACCTCCAAAAGTTAAGATAGTTTTAGTGGTACGGACGTTGATTGTCTTCGATATGAGCATCATGAGATTGATAAGTATGTAATTGATAATGGTGCGAGTGTGAACCTTAATGAATTTCTTTAACAATTTTATAACATCCATGCCCCTGTTCGTTTGGTAAAAGTTAAGCATCTTCGTATTCATAATTTATAATTTCTTTTTTTTCCAATATTTTCGTTGTAGTAAAATTACCACTTTAGATACTTAGTTATTTAATGCGAAAATAGTCATATTCCCCGTCGGTTGGGTCTTGGTGATTTTTTTTTTACCAATACAATAGAGTAACTGTTTTTTTTTAAATAGTTAATAATAACAAGTGGCATATAATGCTACTTATATGAATTCTCTCAGTGAACATGAGAAAAGGTTGATTTTCTCGGCTATATGGTTGAGGGTGCGCAGTGCTTCAGGTGATTTGATCTGTACTTCAGACGGTCTTCTTTTTGTATTGTGTTTAGTCGATACCATGTAACCATGTTCCTGTATTTGTAAGGAAAATAAATTCAGTTTTTTTTTCATTATTATTATTTATCTTCCGGCGCCGTGGCTGACAAATGACATTAGACATCTTATGGACAAGAAAAACTGCACCGAGCTAAATAGAAAATTAGACCAACTAAACGAATACGTGTTAACTATAAACGCCATATTCATAAGTCGGTAGAAAATGGAAATCAGTTAGTAAATGAAAAAAAAAATACTGTTGCTCATTCATTTGATGTCGAGTTCAATTCTCTAATTATTTTTCAACTTCATCCCCTATGAACAACTGTACTAAGCTCCTGACTATTCTACATATGTTTTTATACTCTATTCTACCCAAGTCACCGACTGTGACTTTAAGAGGAACATTCTCTCCATCAATTTTAATACAATGAGCGAAGACTGTGTGATCTGTAGTATGTTGATTCCCTTACTTGATATCGTGGTGATGCTTATCATCACTAATATTATTAATGCTTCTATTTCCTCCTCTATTTTACCTGATGCATGGAAAGACACTCATATCATCACTTTGCCTAAAATATCTATATCTATTAATCACTCTGATTTCCATCCCGTATTCTGTTCTTCCCTTAATTTCAAAAATATTTGAACACCTTATTCAACATCAATTGATTTCTCAGTCACAAACTCTTCAATCCTTTCCAATCTGGTGAAGTTAAGATCCCCTGATACCGCCATATCTCAAATCATACTTTAAATTTCTCTTATCTACACCCGATCTCTCTCTTTGCTCTTCTAATAATTTTCGATTGTTCATACCTCACTAAATTCTATAGTCAATCTTTTACTGTACAAGCAATAAAATTGTGGAACTCTCTACCTGAATCTATCAGACAGGGCGAAATCTTTAAATTCCTTCAAAGCACAATTAAAATCTTATTTCCTGTCAAAAGTTTAGTCTACTTTTCTATTTTCTTTTCTCACTTCTTGTGCTCTTTTTTACACATAATCTTTTATTCTTATATAATGGTATTTTTAACATTATAATATTGGCTATGTGTCCATCAGTTGAAATTGATGTGTCATAATATATTTATTTTAAGAATAATTGACAGCGTCGATTATAAAAGGTTTCATAATATATAAAGAAAATATGTTAAAGTTGATATCATTAAATGAAATAACATATTAACTATCTGGTGAGGACTTTAATTTAGATCTTATACCGACGCTGGATGAAGAATACAGAAAAATGAAAACAACCGTTTCCTCCTACTCACCAAACAAACAGGGTTGGCAAATGAGCTTGATTTCACAAGATCTTCAAATTCTTCTTTGTGGCGTACTTTTCCATGGAATGCGACCTCCGTCTCACTAGACCAGCCACCCTCATCGCACAAGTTGCAATTATACTCGTAAATATGATTTGATTGCTCTGTTAATGTCTTTTCAGTGGGTAATCTTATAATTTCCCGGCTGTGTCTAAACATTTTTTATTTTACGGCTAAATCCAAATTACCAAAATATGTCACAGAAAACAGAAACAATACAATTAAGGATGACTAAATCGATTAATCATAATTTCAGAAGAGAATCGATATTTCTTATATATTTACCTCAAAATCATTACGTAATCGATAAGATGCAGTATTTGTATTAAAATCGGGGGGCTAATTATCTAATTTCAAAATCTCAAGAAATTTCTTTCTATTTGATAAAAAGTAACTAAGTTCACGCTACAACTTTTGAAATTTGTTAAAGTTTAATAATTCCATAAATCGCTATCACATTTCTTTAACCTACAAGGGATTGCGATAAATTCTGAAATCAGACAATTATCCCACAGATGTTTTGTATGTTTCGCTCTCTTTAAAAATACACTTTAATATGTTATTTTTTGTAAGAAGAGCTGTAGATCCAGCACCTCTACCATGCAGAGCTGACGCACTTTCAGAATCAGAATTTAAGATCCTACTAGCTAAATAAAATAAATACAAAGTTGGGTTGTAAATATACGTGAAATTTTTTATTGACAACAAACAAACATATAGCAAAAGTCACACGTCACCGTCACATATTAACTTTCGAATGTACGATGGCCAGCAACTAAATTGGATAGAACCCCAAACATTTTTCAATACATGGTCACAAATTCATTAGATACTTGTGCGAACGTTTCTTTCGTTTAATATAAAATAAACACATATAATAAACATATAAAAGAAATACAAAAACACATATAAAATCATTTGATAAGCTGTCAGACAAACATCACCTGACCATAACAGCAACTGCAACACATGGACGCATGTGTTCTACACCAAGGAATCAGCTGGGCTTGAAACATGCCAAATATTCAATTGAAGAACTCTTGAAGCTCATCAAAATGAAGTTGTACAAACTTTAAGTGGACATTTATCGGTGAACTTCTTCGACTCAGCATGTGAATTTATGAGTGAATTATTGTTATATATTATATTTTCATGTTGTTATGGAAAGTGATTTCATATTCGAATGAAGTCATTATTTCAATTTTGATATCTCTATGAAATAAAACAAGGAGCCATTGCTCAGTTTCTTCTCAATACAAGATCTCTAAATGGCAAAGAGTTTTGAGTCACAAGTGCTTGTAACAGCGTGGTCTAAATAAATGATTTTGATTGTTATTGCCCACCAATTTTCTTTGAAATTAAGTGACACTGATATTTGCAGTAATTATAAATAGGAGCGTGAAACATGAAGACATATTCTGTGTAAATATGGACTACTGATCAAACGAAGTGTACAACTGGTATGGACACATAATCGGACCAGAAGATATAAAATTTGTGAAATGAAGACGGAACACACCTCAAAACACTGAATGTAAAGCCTGAATAGAATAATAACAAACCGACTCTGGTGGCGCCACTTTCTCACTTTATTGTAACACGTATATATAATCTGAATTGGATAGCTGGAATATTATATTAAGTGATTAATTTTTAATTTTATGAAATCATGTTCATAATTTATTAAATGCAATGCATACAATACAAAACAACCTCAATTCTGCTATTTTACGTAGTTTTCATGGTTTACCGCAATATGGTGAGGTTTTTATTTTTCTGGTCGGGCTATACTTATTTGACTTTGATTTTTCTGAAAATCGGTTTATTATATTTGATCCGAGTGAATTAAAAATTTATCGTTTCTGAAAAAACTCCCTCGCATCCCTACACACAAAAATTTTACACGACAACTGCTATTTTCTTAGTTAACGAAAAGCAAAGGGATCTTTTTTTTACATGCCAATTTTCACTTTACTTTTATTATTACTGACTAGCAACATCTTTTGATCTGTGTTTCAGTTTGTGTAATCTTAGGTCTTGATTATTTTTATTTTTGAAATCTCTCACATGCCTCTTTCTATTGCTCGCTCAATGCTTGTATTCACATCAAGCAAATTCTTAGCTTTAATAAAAGGATTTGAGATTCATGTGTCAATTTCATAGTATCGTGTTATTATAATTCAAGTATTGTAAAGAATCCCTTTCATGCTGTTTGGAGAATTGCTAAGGTATTAGAGATATTGAGAAACTCCAAATAGGTATACTAACATATATTAAAGAAAGCAATTACCTAAAGATCTTATATTTCGATGATTGTGCTTTTATACCTACAATAACAGTTTGTATGATTATTTTGTATAAAACAAATAAAAATGACAGTAGAATGGTTTCTATTAATCTAGGAACAACTAAGCTATATAGTTTAAAATATATAATACAGCAAGCAATATATTATTATTCAAGAAATTCAGAAACAAGGTGCCATTTTGTTAGTGTAAAGCTAACTCGCTGTCACACACGGAGAAGAAGTAAGTTATTGAAAATCTATTTTTATACCAATTTAGTCCGTGAATAATAAATTTAATCAACAACCTCTTTGACGAAATAAAACTGAATCAAATAAATTTTAAAAATAAATGAACATTCATTCAACATTCATAGAAATCTATTAGAGTGACAAAGTTCTAACTGGGCGAATTGATATTCAGACAATTCTCTCCATGTATTACAGCTTTACAATAAGATTTCCTTTTCATCAAGCTGACTCCCGTTTTGTAGAATTTTGATTATAGCTAAGTGTTCGTATTATTTGCAATTAGCAAAGTGAAAGTTAGGTTAATAATACATAACACAAACCATTATCTCGTCCAAATCGCAGTCTTCATTAAGGTGAGGCAATACGGAAGTATAAATTAAGAAATCTTGCGTAGTGTTACGTATAATTCCATGTTGTTGCAGACTGCTAATGTACGCTCTTTCTCTGTAAATATCCTTGCATTGCGAAATTCTATAAATATAACAATTTGTTTTTTAAATAATCATATAATTCAATAAACAGAGTGGTCATAACTAGTTTTAAATTTGGTCATATTTTCTAGTTTTGTACTTACCTCCAAAGCTTTACCTTATGGCATAAAATTGGCCACTATCTAAATTATATACCGATTAATTATTCAGTGAATTATATTACCCATCTAATATGAAGATTGCAGATATTATTTTTGGTTGACCATGGCTACATTTTCAATAAAAATCATGTATCTAATATAAGACAAAATTAATAATAAAACATGAATAGTTATGTCAGAAACAAATCTTGCTTCGTTTTAATAAATTAAATAGACAATTTTAATCATATAGTCTTTTACTAAAGGAATATTATTGCTCAAAATAATAGTACTTGAATAAGTGAGTACTTAAGTATTTATATTTTCTGTGTAAACTTTCAAAACAAACAACATATTTAAAATTTAAGTAGCTGCTGTAGAATGATTGTGTATATATTAAAATGTATTTTTTACATGAGGGAGGGTGTTATTCCATAATGAAAAAGTCAAAATGTAATATTGTTATATTACTATATTAATGTGTATATTTAAAATTACTTTTGAAGTAGCATCTTGGAATTTTTTATTGTTAGATTGTCTGTATTTTTTTCATTAATTGTTACAGATATGTAAGCAATATGCAAATATTTTCAATTTTTTTTTGTTGTATTATAAAATATTTATAGATAATTTAAAAGTTTTAATGCAGGTATTTGTTCCATCCAAGTTAAGGTTTTGTCAAAATTGGTAATGACTGTAGGTAAGCTTAGTTTAATCTTTAATAAAAATTTAAAAAATTTCTTTGTCAAATATAATGTTTTTTTTTTTATAATATAATTAGAGAAAATTATTTAAAATAATCATTCTGCATCTTACAGAAGTCCATTGCTATAACTGTGAAAGTGATATCTAGGAACTTCAGTTTCACAGTTTTATAACAAAAAAAATTACTATATTGATTAAGTAAAAAGTAATCATTCTCTACATTTTCAGTGCCACCATGTCTAAACAAGGGTCTGTAGATCCACGGATTGCACCCAAAGAAATGATAGTAACACGTACCAAGTCGGCACAGCAGAAACGTCAACTCCGCGAGAAAGACAGAAGCATGAAAAAAATTACTCAACTCCTCAAATCTCCAACGAACAAAACATATAAAAATACAAAAAAGAAAACTCTTAAGAGTCCTATAAAGAAAACTGCAACAGAAACTATCATACCAGAATCGAAGAACATAGAATCAGACAATGAATATAAGGAATATTATCCAGACAAGTTAAGGAGGAGATTTGAAGCAAAAAAGGTTTTCTTAAAACCAAAATACGTATCTGAAACTGTAGTGAAATTAAATAAGAGAAAAATGGTGACACCACAGCGCGGGTTATATCCAGGTGGGATTTTGTGAAACATCTGATTTCAGTTATATATTAATTTGATTATGATTTATTAGCGAAAATATTGCTGCATCTATCAGGCTACTTCTTATTTAGTTATCAATTCATTTTGTAACGGATCCCTAGATAGCAGTGTTTTTGTCTCGTTAGATATCTATTTGTCTTATTTAGATGGCACTTCTCTTGTCTGATTGATATCATAAATATTCTGTGTATTTTTGTTTACATATCATTATGACGTCATATTTGTGTACCTTTTGTACCATGTTTGGACCATTATCTGACCAAAATAATCCAGCAACCCCCTATATAACATTTTCTCTTATGTCATTCTCGATTAGCTTTAGGCGGCCAATGGTTTAAACCAAATATTAACTTGAGTCCTTGTTTTAAAAAACAGATAGAGATAAATTTTATTAAATAAAAAGTGTTTATTTTGCTGAAATATATTTATTTATTGTGTCTTATCAAATGATAAGAAACATTTGAAAAAGTATTTCTACTTTTTAGGACTATGATACTCTGTTAAAAAAACATAAAACAAGACTTGAACTCGAGATATTCCTATAATATATGCTGCTATAGCAACTCATTTACAGAAGATCTGTAGTATTTTTTATTCTGTTCGTGATGCTGAAATTAAGCAACTTTCACAAAGGCTTGTAATAGGATGGGTGACCGAAAATGTATTATATCGAGATGGAAGACAGGACATCGA